GGACGATCACAGTGGTGGCAGTGGAAGGGTGAGAGATGATCGGATTCTGGATCTGCTTTGAAGGTAGAGCCAACAGGATTTGTTAAAAGAGTTATATAGAGGGTATGAGAGACAATGAGGACTCAAGGATGGGTTTGATGTTTGGCCTGAGCAACTGGAAGGACTGAGTGCTATCACCGAGGTGGAGGAGTCGCCAGGAGGAGCAGGCTTGGAGAAAGCCTGGAATTCTGAATGTATGTTTGAGATCCCATGTTCAGCTTTCCGGTGGAGATGTTGGGTAGGCAGGTGGATAGTCAAGTATGGAGCTGAGGAGAGAAGCTGGTCAAAAGTATCTGAGAAGAGCTTCCCTTCATGGAAAAAGATCAAAGGCAAAGCCATTCTGAGACTTTGCTGTCTTTTTTGTCCTCTTTTCCCTTCTATCTTCTTCCTACCTGGAACATAGAAGTAAGGGCTGGAGGTGCAGCAGCCATCTTGCATTCAGGCAGCAATTGGTGTCAGAGTGAAGGCCTACATAATAAGGATGGCAGAGCAGGAAGATGAAGGGACACACCCTGGAAGCAATTGGAGCCACTGTACCCTCAGAATTTTTAATGCATGAGACAAACCCTTATTTTGTAAGCTACTATAACAGAGTTTTTTGTTATTTACAGATGAATGCATTACTACTTGATATAGAGGATATGGTACAAAGATGAAATTTTTCTTCTAGAAGATAAATTGATCTGATGAAAAGGCCTGGAGGAGAGAGAGAGAGAGAGACCAGTCTGAAGGCTCTTGCAGGAGCCCAGGGAAAAGCTGGTAAGGGCTTGAAGGATTTAGTATGAGAGGAAGGTAAAGCATCACAAATATTTGTCAAATGTGTACAATATGCCCCGTCATTCTTGTAATGAAAACAATTCTATAACCACACAATTACCAAATACTTTAAATCAAAAATCGTTCCCAGAGAAAACAAGAACTCTCCTTGGTCTCAGATGGATAAACCCAAGGGTAAAACAAAACAAAACAAAACAAAACAAAAACCTAAATCCTATTCCTCAGACATGAGGATTTCATTTTATTGCTGCTCTGAGAATTCATCTAATTGCTCAATCATGCCAATTACATAGGAAGTTCACCTGCTGACAAATAGCTATCTTGGGATACATCAGAATAAATTGTAGAAACAATTGAATTTTCTAATCAATATTAACTTGATCATATTATGCAGCTGCTACTTTCTTTGACATTTAATACAGCATCTTTTTTCTTATAATATGTAAAACTTTTCATTTGTAGCAAAATCTCACGGTAAAAGAGATGAATAATAATTCTGTCCTTTTGTCAGAGAGTGGTTTTCCTGAAGAATTATTTTTGTAAATCTGCTACCCCTCTCATCAATTATCCATTAAAAGTATAAACATCGTATTTTAGTTGAAACCTGAAGAGCTGTAGCTTCTGACATCAGAACCCCATTTTCTGTGTAAACTACTGAGATAACTTATTATAACACTGCTTTTATAATTATTCTTGAAGCATTCTGCTGACCAATATATGCATGAAAGAGTACAAAACGCATGAAAATCATCCAATTTGCTAAAGTTTTGTCTCTCTGGAATGCCCTGGTAAAACGTTAGTCTGCCTGGGAAGTGACCATTTTGAAGGAAAGCTGGCTCATGACACTTTGCTGGTGAAAGTCCATCACTGCCTCAGAGGAAAAGCCAAAATCGTCACTCTGACCTCGGAGCCCTACATGACCCGAGCCTGCCCCTCCCTAACCTCATCTCTTACTCCTCGGCCCTTCCCTCCATGCGCTCCTTGCTGACCGCTGAACACCAGGCCTCCTCCAGACAAGGTCCTCTGACCTGAGGTTCCCTCTGCCTGGAATACTTTCCACCCAGCATCCACCTGGCTACGTCCGATCTTTACGCAAATGTCACCTCAGGAGAACTTATCTGACCTCCCATTTAATATTGTAAATCCTGCCTCTCCCCATCCCCTTTCCCTGCCTCATTTTTCTCCTTAGCACTTACCATCGATCTTACAATGTTTCCCTCATTTTATTTATCATTTGTATCCCCTCCTAACCTATGTTCCCTGAGTCTCCGGATTTTTCATGTTTGTTCACCGCTGTATCCACAGCACCTAAAGCAGAATCTGGCATAAAGTAGCATTGGATAAATGACTTCCTGCAAATGGAACTTGGCCCTCAGAACACCACTGGTGGTTGGTTCTTAACATTGTTTTGTTTTTAACCTTGTGTCTCTCTTTGGTCCCTAAGATTGTTCCTAAAACAGCAGGTATGGTAGCATATCTGAGTCACTTCAGCCAGGCTTCTGAATCACCCATGCTGAAGGCTTCAGCTAATCAATAATGTGGGACTTTGATCTATGGAAACCCAATCCCAGGATACAGGACTCAAAGTCG